ACACTTTAAGTTTATTAAATTAATTAGATAAATGTACCCAATGTTAAACCTGCAACAAATCTTGGTTTTTAATTTAAATTGAATTTTGTCTAGAAATGAAATATATTTTATATAATCAGAAAGTGTCTAACTTGTAGAGCGATACAAATCTGGATGTTTTTAAGCTAAAATGTCCAACTATAGTGATATCTATATACTTATATACTATATATATTATATACTATATACTATATACTTATACTTAAACTATTCCATAAGATTGTCTTATAGACCCCTTAGCCATGCAAAGTTTAAAACAATGCGTAGTATAACTGGAAGTCAAACTCTTGTTGTTTATGCTAAGATCTTTAGGAACCGTTTTTAGAGATTTGGTGTACAGTACTTTAACATTCTTTTGTTCAACACTCAAAAAGATGGAAACTATCTTATTATAGACTCTAAAAATGGAACTATTTAAAAAGACTTACTTTTATCTGTCAGAATATATTTTACAAAGGTAGAGAATAGAGTGCCAATACAGAGTGATAATACATATAACATACATAGTTTTTATACTAAAAGGGTTGCATTTGCGCACACATATATAAAGAATACAATTCTATAGATAACAAAATTCCTTGACACACATGGTTTCATTGGATAGAAAAAAGATTGTACATCAAATTTTGGTCTGTTATTGGTCGAGAAAAATGGTTTCATGGTTCTATTGGATAAAGAAGAATTGTACATAAAATTTGGGTATACTATTGGTTGATAGAAATGACAAAATTTGGGTATACTATTGGTTGATAGAAATGACAAAATTTGGGTATACTATTGGTTGATAGAAATGACGCTGAAGCCTATAGCTTGAAGTTGGTTTTTACTAGATTTTTCAGATGTCTGAGTTTTTAGAGGTTGAAAATGTTGAAATGCATGGTAGGAAATAAAGTGTGTTTTTCGTTGCTATGTTAGGATAGTGATTTAAACATTTAGAGATCAGGATGTAAATATCTAAAGGTTTTCAAACATTTATGAGAAGAACATACATTTTAGCTTATCTATATGTAGACATTTTATTTAAAAAATGTCACAAACCTGTGTTTGATATTAAAACATTAAAGTATTTTTTTAGAGGTCTCAACATTTTTATTTTAAGTGTGCAAGATTCCTTTTCAAAGCTTTAAGAAAAATTCTGAAAATTTTTACAGTATTTGACTTTTTTAGTTTAGTAAAAAATGCAGAAAACTTTATTCCCCCCCTCAAAAAAAGTTATTGCTCTGATAACGATTATAATAAGCCAGGTAAATATCTGAAAGCTAAAAATGATTTTAGCTCTGTTTAAGCTGACTTTTACTACACACAAAAAAAACTATACAAACCAGCTGATATGGCTTCTCTGAAAATAGAACCTCATCTGCTGAAGAATTGGATCACAGAGAGGTTGTCTGAGCTTATTGTCAAGATAAAGAATACAATACAAACCTCTTCCTCAGTAACATCTCTCTCCCCACATGGACACCCATAATCAAATATTTCAGCATTCTTCTTTGCTTTATGTTCGGGTTTGGGTTTGGCATTTATAACTATGATTAAACAATAAATAATTCCCAAGCATAAAAATATGTCTGAATTTTGTTTCATCTTTTATGCATTTTATCACGCTATCTTCTTATAATACTACTTTAATCTGACATATTGTAATATGAGAGAAGTCCTAATTAGTACTGTAGAGTATCGATTTGAAAACGAAATATAAATATGCTTTCTAGTAAAATGGAATGGATAAAATTTATATAGAAATTTTTAAATACCTTTTATACTTTTTAATTTTATTTTATTTACAATTTAAAAATCCAAATACAATTATCATTGTTTGCCTCCACATCTTAGAAGAAGAAAACTTGTTACATTAAATGTTTGTTCCTGGCAAATTTAGGGCACATATTAGAAATCTATTCAATCATGTTTTAGCAAAAATAGAAAATAGATTTTTACAATTTCATGTTATTTTAGAGTTTTAGTTATATTTTCTAATTTACACTACAACTAATTAATTAGCATGACTGAAAGCTCCAGATACTTATTTGTACTCATTTAATTTGTGTTGCAAACAAGTAAGCCATGAAATATTTGCGGAATTGCGTGAAATTGTATGCAATTGCTTTTCCATCTAAAAATCAATAATTTTGATATAAAAATGGAAATATCTCTGTATATTTTAAAATAATCGAGGCTGAGTGTCACTAGTTTCAACAGTTTTCAAAGTTTTTTTGTGGTTTAGCTACTAATTAACAATTTAATATGATATTTTTTTCATTTGTTCACATTGAATGAACTTTAAAATGGACACTTTTTGGTTAAAATTGTATGGTTTGATTAATCAAAACTAGATATTTTGCAACAGTGAGAACTAAAAAACTATTGAACAGAAAGACAACAGTACAGTGTATTTTTAATGTTGTTACACGCAAAAAAAATAATGAGTAACTTATTAAATTAATCATGCAGTTAAATGAGCCTGTGTGAGCATAAAATGTGATCTTACTATACCTGAGTTTTCTGGTTATCATGCTGCATATGAATATTTGAAAACATAGGATTTTTAAATTCAATTTTCTTATCATTGAGACTGAAATGTTAGTGAAGTACGGTTCATTGTTTGCCACTACCAAAGTTTAGATAGAATTTTTGTTGTTCAGTGGAATTTCGCAATAATTAATTGTATTTACTGTATGCCATAAGGTTTAAATTGAATAATATAAAAAAATTGAAACACAAACGCAGTTCCTAGTAGGCTTTCACAGAAAAATAATTCGTGCTCATTTGAATAAACAAAATATTTTAATTGTATTTGTAATAACTATTAACCTATTAACTCATGTTAATTAATTTGTGACCTTCTTGTTAATCATCAAAGGATGAAAGGGTGCCCATGTAAAATCTAATTTTTCTTTTCCTAGATTCACAGAATCATGTTCCATAGCTCTTAAATTTCATTATTAGTACATGCTTTTTATAGTTTAAATACTAGTGTGGTATTCCCTAACCACCAAAAATGTGCAATAAATTGGCAGACTTAAATTAGCAAACTTTGATAAGATCACACTTCAAGCTATTTAACTTTTATATAATCAATTATCTTTGCAACCTGATAACATTGCACATGGGGTTATTTCCATCATACGGATCAAACCTTTATACAATTACTTATCTTTGCAACCTGACAACATTATACTTCAGGCTATCTCCATCATACAGATCAAACCTTTATACAATTACTTGTCCATGTAATAATTAACACCCAAAGTAATAAATAAGCTTTCATTAGATTAATTACATTTATTTACATATATTCATAAATGCATACATAATCGTAATATGGAGATAATCTGATGACTTAATGATCAGCCATGATTCCTGTACATATTAGGTCTCTTAGCTTGATTCTTGAGCACTTTCTCAGTTAATCTACCGAGTTTTATGTGCATGACTGTTATATTGTTCAGTCCGTCTATCAGCTCTTTATCTCTTTCATTCCAGGTTTTTAGGCTGATCCGCTTGTGCATGATCCGATGCAGATCTACCACCTGGTTGAACAGCCTGCTACTGATCTCTTCTCTACTTGAGTCAGGATGCAGCCTGTATTCATGCTCCCAAGCTCTCCCTGTGTCCCATACATCAATACGAGGGATTACAGGGGGCTGTTGGGAACCTGCACCCCCAGGAGCGGGGACAGGAGGGCTCTAACCTCCTTATTAAGTTCCTCCAGACTACTTATGACGTCCTAGAGTATCTTCGGGATGTCTTCCATCTCTTCATCATCATTCCCGTCCTCTACTACATCCTCATCCCGCTGACTAGAGGAGTAAGGTCTGCGGGATCAACTTCATCCTCATCCAGCTCAACATCCGCAACATAGGCTGGGTTGCGTACTATGACAGGAACTTGGTTCATCTTCTTCTAGGTAGCTTGTTCAAGTTGGTCTTCTCTGTAAGGCGTATAGGTCCGGGAACGATAGTGGCAGACTGACTTGTATAGTTACGTGTCTACTCTTCTAAGGTTCGGGCTGTACTGATCTTCTGGCATCCGTTTGTATTCAAGGGACTGTTCACTCTTATCAAGAACAATCTGGGATAACACTAGATATTTACTGTTAATGAAAAATATAATATCTACCTGAAACATTAAACAGTAACTATAGTATTGACATCCTAACTGTTGCATATTTTATTATAAATGATAAGATTAAACATGACCAATCATGTAAATCAGTGCAAGCTCTGAATAATGGTAGGCAAGCAAGGGGTTTGCTATCAACAAGGCACCAGGGGGATTTCTGAAGGTCTTCCTGAACTCCATTAAACTAGAGTCAGAATTGAAGATATTTGTAAGAATGTTGGGTGAACCTTGGATTTAATATCAAAATGAAAGAGAGAATATAGTGTGTCAAAACACTAATAAGTATTATTATAATCAAGTACTTCTGATTTCTAATGTGCTTTAAGTCTAAATTTTCAAGCTAAAATCTCAACTGATAAATTAGTTTATAGTTTTATTGTATCATTCAACTCTTCAAGACTAACTAAATATACTTCTCTTAAAATAGTTTTTAAATGTTTGGTTTCTAGTAGCTTAACATTTTATCTTCAACACAATAGAGAACATAAATTACTAGTTTATAAGACCCTAACCAGTTACTGATAAAATGACTTACTTAATGTTATCCTTCAGTCTGTTTATTTCACAATAACTTACATGGTATTTATACTGAATCACAAAGGGTTGCAGATTGCGTATAAAACATATAAATATATATATAATTGTTACGCGACCAAAGTCTTGTATATGTATAGAAGGATAGAACACCCCTGTGCTGATATTCCCTCAGAGTTTCTGAAGCATCCCTGGAGTTTGTACTGTGTGTAGAAGACTGTTTCTGAGAAGAAAACTGCCCAAACCAGTTTTAGTTTATATTATATTATATTGTTTATGTTTTTAGTTGGATTTCTGCTATGCTGAATAAATCCTGAGTTCTTTATTGATTCGTTCATCATGAAGAGAGGAGATAGAAATTACGACAAACCATCGAAAAATACCACAAGGTTATATATAGCGCTTAGTTGCGTAACAATAATAACTATACAAAGATGGTTTCATTGAATACAAACATGGTTGTACATCACATTATTGGTCGATGGAAATGGTTTCATGATTGTATGTCAAATTCTGATCTACTATTGGTTGATAAGAATGGTGCAAAGGTCTTAGCTTGAAGTTGGTTTTTACTAAGTTTTTTAGACGTCTGGTTTACCAGGCTGTGTAACTTTACATTGAAAAAGATTGAAGTGTATAGAAAAATGGATGTATTTTTCATTACAAAGTCAAGGTAAATGCCAGGAATTCAAGATTAAAACATTTTTTTAAGATCTAGATATTTATTTACGTATCGAGGATATATTACAACTTAGTTTATATGGATTTAACAGAAAAAACTATTTTACGATAGTATTGTTTACATACATTAATTAAGAAGTAATCTATTAGCTTCCGGCATTTTTTTTTCATTATTTTCTTATCAGAATTTGATGTTACATTTAAAATCGTGTATTGACGAATCAGCAGTTCAAACGAAAAAAACTACAATTTACTCAAAAGGATAGCATACTTGTATTCAATGTGACTTAGCAATATAGTAGACACGGTGTGTGTTATCAATTATTATAAAATGCTATAATTAACTTTGTGCATGCTTTCGCAAAAACATGCCACGGAGACGAGTTTTCTTTTTTATATCAAAGAAAATTCATGTAAGCTATATAACTAGAAACATTGATTGTTCCTCGTTGATATTTTGGCTACATGTTATAGGATCAAAGAGGGAAAATTAAAATTAAGAGATATAATAACGAGGAACATTGACGGTTCCTTGTTAATCTCGAGGCTGCATCACGTTCAGGTGAGGTATGTCTCAGTTATCCGCAGGTTCAGGAGGCGTTCCAGTTCAGTTCATACTGAATTAGTAAAAGAAAGCATTAGTTTATTTAAAGCATTTGTTCTTACATTGAACTCTATCAAATCAGATTTTAAATCATATAAACTTTGTTTAGTGTTGGATTATAAAAAAAGTATTTATAAAAAGGTATTTGTAGGGTAAGTTTGGATAGGATAAATAAGAACTTTTTGTGAGGAAAATATGGACTTAATATTGCGGAATTTCTTTATTTTTTAGAAGTAGAGAAATTCGATTCAATTTAATTGGGTTAAACCTTTGCAGTCCTATGTGGTCCAATTTCACAACCTTCGCCCTCTGTATAAAATAAATATAAAATTCAGTAACTTGGACGAAATTCTGCCAGGCTCAGCCGGATCCCATGGAAATCTATTTTTACCGTTAAATTTCGCAGAATAGTTCCTCTCTGAAATCAGTCCGTCATTCCGCTAGCGTTCCGGTTTCAGTTTATACTAAATAAGGTAAAAAATACTAATTAATAACATTTTCCAGGACGGAAAAGTTTTAATGACAGATCAATAATAAATAAGGAAGTATAGTCTTAATAGTTTCAAACAGCGGAGGGCTTACAAAAATATGGGATTAAAGTATTGTAATCAATCTATTGTATCAATCATTCAATCATTCAGACAGTAGCGATTTAAATCATTAACGAAAAAGGATTTATACTGAAAATTAGTCCTAATAAATGAAAAGTTAAGAATTTTTTACATTCAGTAATATTTTAGGCAGTCGGTTTAAGATTAAGCAAAAACAAAGACTAGATTTTAATAATAAAGGTATAAACATCTTCCCAAAAGACCGTGACCCAGTTTGGCAATATTTAATTAAATTGTTAATTGTTTGAAGTATTAGTTAAGAGAATAAGGAGGAAGGTTCCTATGACATATTTTCTCTCGTTTCAATTTAGTTCCGAAATCCCTTGGAAAGTAATTTTTTACCATTAACTCCAGGACGAACAGGATCTTGAGGATTAAACATCCTTTGTGTAAGCAGTGATCACGTGATAAGCAAATTTAGTGCCCAGACAGCTCTAGCAACCAGGTTCTGTGAATTTCTCGTCCAACTAGTTTCAATCAAAGAAAGAGAGAATAAGACTTACATAAGTGAAATTCATAGAAATATCTATGAGACTTTTTAGACGAGAGGGTAGTAAGAAGCTCTAAGAATGTTTTTTCCTCACAAATATAAACAGTAATTTTTTACAGAGCAAAAAGACAAAATAGGAGATGAAAAGGCAAGCAACAAATAGGGTTTTTTTTCTGTTATCAAAATTATTGAAAGTTTGACGTTCTATCTTTTCATGATCATGTTTAAATGATAAAGCATAAAAAGATGCGCTAGACATGAAGGATTATTTTTGCAAAAATATATCGAACACTAACTCTGACAATCATTAATTGATTAAAAGATTAAAACATGAATCGTTTAGATTTAAGGTTAAGATTACAAGCAAGAAATATAGATGGATAGAAGTGATTGTGACTTTTCAATATTTATTGCATTATGAATAAATATTTATCTAATATTCTTCACAATAGTATTACAGAATTGTGTCCTGTCATCATTGTAAGTACATAAATCTCCTTATCAATTCTAGCTGAATCCAGATTTACAATCTGACTACAACTTGGTATGTGTTTAAAGTATAATACATTGCTGTCTACATTGGATTTAAAGACAACTGTTGTGGGCAGTATTCAAAAAAAAATGTATTCTGAAATAAATGTAGGGCTAGACGTGTTCCTACTTTATAAATTGTTCATTCCATTCTACTTTCTTTGATCCTGTAAAAAAGTTATTGTCCCCCAGGAACAAAGCCCCAGCCCTTTAGATAAGACTGACACCAGTTATCTAACCTTAGTAGTATTGGCAGACTATTCCTTTTTATGGAACATTCATCAAATGCTGTTTTTCGATTTTTGGCATTATTATTAATTCATGAAGCATTTCTCTTCTAAATTTCTCTAATTATAAATAACAACTAATCTCAGGTTTCATAATGCTGGAGTATGTTAATCAGTTGGAAGAATTAGTGATAAAATGCATGAAAAATGAAGCAAGTTTCAAACATGTTCATATGTTTGGGGATTCTTTATTGCTTGATTAAAGTTTTAGATGGCCAACCAAAGCCAAAACCCAAAACAAAGCCAAAACCTAAACTTCAAAAGAATTCTGAAATATTTGATTATGGGTGCCCATGTGGGGAGAGAGATGTTACTGAGGAAGAGGTGATGTATTCAGTATTCTTTACAGAGCCTTTACAGAATATTTTAGACAGAAAATTGTCATGAAATGCATTATTAGAACATAGGTTTGATGAATGGGTAAGATAATTTTGTTTATATCACTTATTAGTTGGAATTTTTCATAGATAAAAAATAAACATAGATAGCTTATGTACGTAAAATCACCCAGAATTTTACAGTCCGTGAACTCACACTTTTAATGGTCAAAGTGTACTTCAATGTGAAGTGGGGTGGATTGGTGTTTCAATGGATTTCATGATTAAAATATCATTTATGATTTCATTTTTGCTTAGCATATTGAACTGAAAATAAATTAGAGGTATTGTAATTATTTAAGTTCTGAGTAATTTAAATTTGTCCATACCAAGCAAGGGTGGTTTCAGGATTTAAGAAAGAGGGATTTTACCCACCCTAAGTTGCACCAAATACTGCAATTTAAACACCCCCTCCCCCACTTGGGCACCCTGATTTGCAAGTAAAAGTGTCATATTCAACTAATAAAGAGGTATATTCCAATTCACCCTCTTTCCCCTATGCTGTTATGAAAAAAACTTTTAATTCCCCCCCCCCCTCCTTTTTGAAGAATGTACTTCATTTGAATAAGAAATAATTATCTAATGTACAATTACCGCATATACAATAACCTATTCTAAATATTTCTTATACAAATGGAGTACCTTTCTGCAAAGCATGTATAATCATAAGGTAGGGCTGGCTGCGTCAGTTGTATCTCCCTTTTAATTCACACTTCTTGTTCACATCCAACCTAGCTAGGCAATCTTTAAGTTTGGAATATATATTAAACATCTCTTCACATTTATATATGGTACATTGAGAAATTTCATCTTATGCACAATCTTTCTTGGAATCTATGGAATTTTTATTTGATATGATTCATATTGTGTAATATTGTCATTTTCTGGGTTTTGCATTATATTTTGAACAAATCTGTGGACCCCACAAAGGAAACTTGTGAGATTCATTCAATGATGCTCTTTTAAAATTCTGAATGTGCAATTGCTCATTACAGGGTGATCAACATTAGATTGTGTTATAGCTTTTAATTGCAATTTCCAGGACTAATCAGGTGTTTTGCAACTATGCGTTTTTTTCCTAAAGACCTAAAGATAAATAGACAACTACTGTGCTGTTTTTCGTTGAGCTTGACTAAGATCTTCTACTCTCGCTCCTTCTCATAATGAATCTAAGGCAGGAAAGCTTCAAGTTTTCTTGTGGCACAGATCCTCAATCTGACAAATAAAACTTATTTAGTCTACAGAAAAGCTTTGAGAAATTTGATTCAACAATATACATCCAACATACAAATCATAATATCATATATCTCAGCATTAAAAACTGTAGCTTAGGTAGTGCTTTTAAGCTGGAATCAGACAAGAAAATGAAAAAGAATCTAAATATTTAAAAGAGATATTTACCACATTAGTCCTCCAATATTAGCACGATAATCAGCAAAAATATAACACAAATAATATTTGATAATAATACTGGAAAACTGAAAGAAAGAACACATGAGTTTCTAGCGCATGCACAGACAGAACAATTTGTTGGTAAAGACAGGTTTCATCTTCAGCATCTCTCTCTTGAAAACAATCATTCAGAGCAGGGATAAATACTAGAAACAGGGATGCTTCATAGACTTCTACGTGTGCTAGCATAACATCAGAAAATCTAAAAAGATTGAATCATTTGAAAAAAATGTACATTGCAAGTTAAAAGATTTTGCATGGAGAAAATACTAGGTCTTTGAGAATTATGTGCGTATTTTGGATTGGATTGGAGATATGATAAGGAACGCTCTTATATATATACTGAAGGAAGTACAAAGCTATGAAAGGAGGTAAACACTCCAGTTTTCAGACAGTAGGGTCATTTCTCAGACTAATTAATTAACCACATGAAAATCTCAAGAGGGTTAAAATGACTAAACTGCCTACAGATGGGACTTTTTCCTTCCTCTTACTGGAATATTCAACATTGCACCTCCTTCAGTAAATGAAAAATGTATACCAAGATTGATTAACCAGGTTTTGCAATGAAGCTTGCAAACATATAAAAGTGCATTACCCAGGGGGCGGAAACATCATGTATGTGTGTCTGTACCAAAAGAGTGTGTGTAAGTAATAACGAAACGAAGGCGTGTACTGTTGGTACATACAGTACATAAAAATCTCGGTATTTGTACAGTCTAGGAGAGCACATTTGTTTATTGTTACTTGTTTACTAAAGAAAAGTTTAATATACCCAAATTAATGAATTAACATAATTATTAATCATAAAATTTCTTCTATTTTAGTTAAGAGATTGTGCTAACTCCCAGTTAGCTCCTGACGAAGAGGGTAAGAAGCAAACTGACCAAAGGTCAATAATGTTAATATTTTCTTTTCTATCATTAAAGACCTTGCATGTCCCCATCAGGGGTTCATACAATTCCATCCATTATGATCCCAAATGTTAATTGATTTTTGTTAGGGGCAGAAATTACCCATGTTGTTGTTGTAAACAATTGAAGTAAGATGTCAAGTTAGGTAGTGTTCAATTTTTATATATCATAACGTTTTTCTTACATTGACCAGATACTGATATTTACAATTACATCTTTTAACACTCTAAATACAGTACACATTTCTGAAGTATAGTACACATACACAATGACACAGAAAATGTATTTTCATGATCCTAAATGTACTATCAACCCCAACGGTATTTGGAGCAAGGAGCGGAAACATCATGTATTTGTGTCTGTACCAAAAGAGTGTGTAAGTAATACTGAATCAAAGGCGTGTACTGTAGGTATTTACAGTACATAAGAATCTTGGTATTTGTTCAGTCTAGGAAAGTACAATTGTTTATTGTTAATTGTTAACTTAAATTTTAATATACATACATGTAATATATTATTTATATATTTAAGTCAACACTATAAGCAAAATTTTCATTCAAAGAATATAATTTGATTAGAGTTCACAATGAACTACTCATTATTCCAGCTACTAATTATAATTGACGACATTGTTCTGCAATTTCCTTGACTTTCCATGTTGTATGTCTGTATCAAAGGAGTGTACAAGTGTAATAACGAAGTTGTCTGCAAAGCAGTGAGACTGGCTTTCTCATGCCAGACCAGCGCCATTTCGCTTCCCTTTATTCTTATTGGTTTGGGATCAGTAATGGAATTATATGGACTCCTGGTCACCACTGTATATGTAAAATGCCTTTTTTTGACTATGAAATATGAACCCTTCAGAAGATGGGTGGTGAGGATAGTAAAAGTCAGAGAGTGTTATGTATGCCAAAAACAAGCTTAAAACAATTGATTTAATGAGAATCAATGCCCATATTTTATACCATGCGCAAAGAATAATCACAGAGTGGGGATGGGGTCTCTTTAAAAACTGAAGGTAGTTGGCGTAGTGAGGGTAGTTAGGGTACGTTCCATTTAGATTCAGCTTCAAGGGTGGGGGTAAGGTCTCTCTAAAAACAGATGGTAGTTGCCATTCAGATTCAGATTCAAGGGTCTGTATTTAGAGAGACCCCCCTCAAAAAAAAATAAATGGCATTGTATACCATGATAGGCTTAAACGGATCAGTATTTTGGAAGATATATAACCCAAAAGATTCTTGACTAAAGGAATTGACTTTTTGACAAATTTTGGCTTCCAACCTGATTTTTAAAATTTCAAACTTTAAATTCTGTAAAGTAAAATAGTCTCAGTTTGAAATATTAAAGGTTTACACTTTCAGGTTATTTGCAAAGAATAGAAAATTTAAGTTTGTGGCAAAAAACTCCATGCCTGAATCATTGTCTAGATTTTTGCTTTAACAGGTTTATTTAGAATAGTTGGGGGGTGTGATGCTGGAAAAACTGGTTGGTTTGTATCCATATCTATGGAGGTTTGAACTTTTAAGTAAATCTTCTAATTTTTGGATAAAAAGACAGTTTATGTCTATAACAGACACAAAAAATTTTAGAATTAAGAAATAGGATTTCTAGTAACTGACTACATTGCTTTAAAATTAAATTAAACTTTTATTCAGTTTACTACTGAAGTGAGAACAGCAAGATGTGGCGGATCTTTAATCAACAAGTTTTGGGTAGTGACTGCAGCACATTGTTTCTGTAATGAGTATTTTACATGTCATCGAACAGAGACAGGAGGTTTTAGAGTTGATGATTACACACTTGGCCAAACTTCTGTAAGTTTAAGCAACATAATTTTCGATTTATTGTTTTACCATTATAGTGATATGCCTTAAAGTGGTTTGTTTTTTATTTTTATTTTCTTTCAGAGGCAAAATTAAGAATATTTTAAACATACTAATATATTTGAAATTGTTAAATCAATTATTTTTTTTTGAGATCTAGATATTTATTATCTCCGTATCGAGATTATATTAATTGTACAAAATTGTTCACATGCATTTAATACAACTATTTTACGATACTATTGTGTACATATATTTTTAAATTAAATAATAAAAAATCATACGGATACATTTTATCGTTTTTTCCTTTCATTAGAAATTTGGATTTAGGGATACTTGGATCCTGCAAATCCTGTAAATCAATTATTAATGTTCTAAATTATTTAAACATTTTTTTTTTCTTACACTATGTTAAATTATGCTGGTAATGAAGTTGTATGCATAAAACGACCCAAAAATGACGCAAAAAGGATAGTTTTTACACTTTTCATAATTGTAGGTCCAAAATATTGCAAATTTTAAAAAAACAAACTTTAACATAATACAATTTTTAAATCTCTAAAGTTTAATTTTTTCTAAAAAACGATCCTAAATGATTAGCTACAATATTTATAATGAATCCAACTTATCCCAAATATCTCACCCAATTTACACAGTGTGCACTTGTGAATCCTAAAGTCAGTTTCAAATAAAGTGCCAAGTTTTCAATTTTATAACTATAATTTTAAAACTTTCTTCTGAAAACAATTAACATGCACTATACCTAAAATATAGATTACACATTAGGTGCTTATTTTTGCACCAACAGTTTATTTTTTATTTTAGATGTATATTGGGGCGGATAAGTTTGATGTCAAGAGTAATACCAATCCTGACATTGCTGACCCACCAAGCAAATTTAGATTCAGGAACATCTTCAGAATTTCATATCTGTCTTTTGACTTGTTTTAACTTGAAATTTAAAATCAATTAGGTTTAAAATTGGGATAAGTTTTAAGTAGGTTACAAATTTCATAGATTAGCAAATAAGGGTATGCCCAATTTTGAATTATTTTTTAACAATTTATTATTTTTGATTATTTTATCTTATAAATTGGATACAGTTGATATGGAAAATTTTGGTTTGATTTTTCTTGTCATAGTTTCTCTCTTTCTTCCTTTTTTTCCTTCTGTTGACTGTACCTGTTTCTGATAATTTTAAAATAGAATAAAAACTTGTGGAAACCAGTATTTATTGGAACACTCTGCTCAATTTAGTTGTAGTTTTCAGTTTTAATGACTATCCAAGAATGTCTGACTCAACAAACTGATTGAGTTTCATGTCCAAATCTTGGAGACACCTTGGTCTTAAAGTGGAGCTCAGAACATTTATTCACTAAGACATCTAATTCCAAATGCTGTTTGTGACAAATAGAGGAGTTGAAAATTTGGAGTTGGTAGGTAGGGAGGGTATTGAGGAACTCCCATAAAGGAACCCAACTTTCCTCCCGGATTTGTACTCTTTCCAAGTTCTTCCGGCAGTTTAGGTTAACCGTTGGAGTTACACCAAATGTACATAAATTGGGAGTTGCTGCTAGTGTACTTCAGAATACAGTCTTTTCTACAGCAATCTTTTCCTCGGACCTGGCAAAGTGTAAACTGATATAATAGCCCATGGTGCACAACCTATCAGGATTCTACTTTCCTTGTTTCTGACAGAGGGGGAGGAGTAGCATAAAGAAACCCCACCTTGTCTGCACTATAATCTCTTTTCTTTCAAGTAGTGTGTACTGCCATGTTTTATTCCACATAGGGTTCTGCTCAGCCACACAAAACTAGGAGAGAGTTGTATAAGAATCAGTTGCCTGCTTTCTCTCAAGCAGAACGAACCTACTATGCAGTCCCAAAATTGCAGCGGGGGAAGCACTGAGTTTAGTTATGCATCTTGTATCCTACAGGGGAAGCTGGAAGCATAGATTTAAACAAAACTTCATCTTCAGCTTGGTGCAATGAAAGAGGAGTTTAACCCCTTGTGGGAATACAAGCTATGCACAACGATACTGGTTTTTACTCAACCAGATGTGAGGACTTGACTGCCATAGAAGATACCTCTCTAGAGAGCTTTCAGTGATCACATTTCCCCATTTTGCATATGGGGTGCAGTTCAGGGTAAATTCCTTAATTCCCCTAACTGGGAAACAGTATAAAATGAAGGAACACAGGGAGAAACTATTTGGAAAGGCTTTAAAGTATAAAAATAAGAAACAAGAAGCAAGAGGAAATAATAAATTAAAAGGGGAAGGGAAATCTCTTGACAGTAGAGATGGGTGCTTAAAGCAAGATAAACAAGAAAGAAGAAGAAAACTTTGAACAGGAAAAATTAGAAGGGGATTTGAGCTTTACACTATCTATTTTTTTCACCGATAACGAATAAAGACAAATACACAGGACGGCAGTTGTCCCATCCCCCCCTCTTTGTCCCACTCAAGATAAAAAACTGGAAAATGTGTAAAACGCCCCCCTCACCCCTCTCCCCCTCCATCAAGAAAATGAAAGTGCGTTAGCTAGGAACGCAGGAGCTGACACAGTAACATGACTGAACCAAAATTTAAAAACAAACAACAAAGAGAGTAACCTTGCCACTCTTAATATATAGAATATAGATACAGGGCTCCAAAAAATAGTTCTGCCTCTGCAGAAAACATCCAAAAAATTCATTTATTTTTATTTTCCAAATTAGTCAAAGTATGATTAAAAGATGGACAAGGAATGGAATATCAAGAAGAAAGAATGAAAAACAAGAAATATAGAAGTCTCAAAATGTTTCCATCTGATATCATATTGAAATTTAAAAATATTGTAAAATTTTATTAAAATGAATTATTAAAGTTAAAAAAGTTGTATAAGAACCTGACTGTGCTGAAGCTCCAAGGCAACTGCAATTTTAAGTTTAAATAAAATTTAGTCAAGCTTACCCTCCATCATTTTCACATAAAAATTGACCTTGAACATTGCACAATTTATAACTTTTAAATGATGATTATTGAACTAATGCCCTTTTTATAATTTTTCCTATGAGCCATTTTTATATTAAAAAAAGATGGTTAATGTGCAATTTAAACTTTAAGAACAAGATTGAAAAACAAAAGCATATTAATAATGAAAAAGATTGTTTCTAGGCCAGCAGAAATAATTATCCATCCAAGATTCAATTCCTTAAGTAAGAATACTTTTAACAGGTTTCTTTTATTGAGTTATGTTTTCTTAGATAAAACAGTTTTACACCATTAATAAAAATAAAGTAAATATGAATATTAAAGAAAAAATTTTAGAGCAAATATTTGGCTCTTTTATTAGAATATTTTGATTATGTGTTTAATTAAATAGAATGATTGGTGTATTGAATAATTCCTTATTATCTAATTTAAAACGCACCTAAAATCAATTTAACTACAATAAATTGTTCATATATTTTTTTCTCTATTCAAAAGGATCAGTAACATTTTGTATAGTAACATTTGGTCCAGGTAACATTTTGTATAGTACACTTTGTATAGGTAACATTTCGTATAGGTTACATTTTGTCAAGATAACATTTGGTATAGATAACATTTTGTATAGGTAACACTTAGGGTAATTTTTCGTATAAATGTAAAAATAAAGATGAAAAATAAAACAAAACACCAAATATCAGCTTTTTTTGTATTTATATTTAATGTACATGTTCATTTTTTTACAGTTTAATTAATTATCCGATTTTTGAAGTTCATGAGCCACCTGCTTGCAGATATTCTTTGTCAGGCAAAACGCCAAACTGTTCAGTTTGGGTGCTGATTTGAAAGTCCCATCCATTAGTCACGTTGAATGAGTTTTAAGGATCTGCACTCCCCAGTCACTCAGGAATAACAAACAAGAATCTGTTTCTTCTTCATTTGTCCATGAGTTAAGAATGAGAAACTCTGCACCATCAGCAGTTTTTGTCAACTTATCTGGTATCTGTTCTTCCATGATATCAAGATGAGATTCTGGAATCTTTGGCCTGGGGTTAATCTTCTGTTTCTTCCTCCAGAGGACCAATTTTACAGCACCAGCAGAAGATGAACTGCTTAGCAGCCCTGGACTTGATGAGGCAAGGATGTTGGTACTAATTTGCTGCAACACTGCCTTTGAGGTAGCTCCTGGAACATTGACCAGGTTGTCAAGGACAGCAACTTCATGTTCTTTAGCCTTCTTGGTCAGGTGCTGATTACCATGATCATGCAGAGGAATTGATTGTCCTACAAGGTTCCCTGTTGATTTCCAGGTGGAAATCCTTGCCTTACAACTTCTGTTTGCACAGGTCTGATAGTTAACATTTTTTTCCAATACTATTAAAGGTATATTTATGAGACTCAAAGCAGTTCGCAGTAAGATTACGATTCTACTGGAGACCACCAGAGGGATTTTATTTTCACTGGAGGGGTTTCAAAAAATGCTTTTTACAATTTAAAACTTTGTGCAGGGTGATTTACATTCCACTGGAGGGATTCAGATGTCCTTCCTGGAGGGTTATAATTCCGCTGGAGGGATTCAGTTCTCCTTCCCAGGGGTTTATAATTCCACTGGAGGGATTCTGATATCCTTCCTGGGGAGTTATAATTCCACTGGAGGGATTCAGACATTCGTCCGATGAGTTTGTAAATCCACTGGAGGGATTCAGATATCCTTCCTGGGGGTTTATAATTCCACTTCGGGTGATTAAATAAAAAAATCTTTAACTATTTCTAGATGATTTAGAACACATTCCTGATTTAAATTGCGTTCCCAACTTAGAACGCGTTAACGATTTTAACCGTTCTTTTCAAGCAATTCCCGTTCCGTTCCGTTCTTTTACTAATCGTTCCAATATTTTTAAGAACGCGTTCTAAGCGTTCGTTTTTTTTTCGGAATGGTGGGATCGTTCTTGATCGTTCCGTTCGTTCTCGGCAAAGAATGATCGTTCCACGGTTAACCCGCCCAGCCCTACCAGTGGAGTCAAAATCTTACTACGAACTTTTGTGACTCTATTTATGATAGTTGTTATCGATTATTGCATCCTTTCCACGAGTAGACTTAGTAAGTCTTATCAGAGACATGGTTGAGGTTTTTGTAATTTTGAGGATTTTCTTTAAATGGTAAACAGTTTTCTTAGTGAAATATTCATGAGTTTCTTACAAAAATATCTCGACGTTCTTTAATTTTTACACTTATATGAAAAATTACTATGGATGTTAACTATACAAAATTTTCCAATGCTATTTAAATATAACAAATGAAAAATATAAAAATCCTTTTTTTCAGTTAATGCAAGTAAGATTAGCTCACTACGACAAGATTATGATATAGCACTTGTAAGGTAAAATTTAAATGTTCTTTTCTTAAGTAAGGATATTGTAAAAATTTTAATCTAATATACTTTTATATTTTTCAACCCATAAATGAAAAAAAGAAGATGAAAATGTTAAGAATAAATAAAGAAAACTAAACTTTAATTTTTAATAAAATGTTGATTTATATAAAAAATAGTTTTAATAAGGCAAAAGCTAGGTCATAAACAATCAGAAATGATCTTAGTTTTCACTTAAGTAAATCAATTTTAATTTATTTAATAGGATGTAAATGTGTTTATTTTTTTACACTATTTAATGTTTTTTGTACTATATGTAAATTACTAAGGCTAGATTATCCAGTTATGGATGAAGAACATGGAATTGGAGTACTAAAAACTGTGGTATGTTTTAAATAATTTAATTTTTGGAAAAAATTCATCTAAAGCATTTCAATAAAATAATACATTTTTCAGCAAGATTGCAAACATGTCCATCCATATTCTGTTTTTGGGAATAAGAGTTTTTAAAATTGGGTTGAATTAGAATTTCTACCTTTGATAAGGATATAAGCCTTAAATATTCACATTTTGCTAAATTTTAGACTAAATAGATAACACAATCCCACTTTTTTGATGAAAAAGCATTCAATAGTTTGATAAGATGAAATATTGTGCAATATATAAAATCGGTAAATGTTTTGTAAACATAAATTATTTTGTTTTAGTACGGGGATCACTTTCATAAGAATACTATTATGCCTATCTGCCTTCCACCTCCAAACTTCAAAGATACTGGAATCCAGGCCAAATCAATTGGAATGGGCCGAGTCAAAAGTAAAAATACCTGCATTACAGATGCAAATGGTCCAGTGGTTTACACAAAATGTGCAAAACAATGGGTTGGCTATAGACCAGAGGACCAGTAAGTACAATTTTTTTAAATGAGGTAATCATTGAGTCCCTCTATCTTGGCAACCAAAGTCGTTGACCTTATCAGATCTGATCTGATCTTAATTTTTGAGATTCTTCACAATTGATAACTTCAGTATATAATTTAGACTTAAAGATAATATAACTGGAAACTTTCTGAAAATGCACACAGCTTGGATAGGTAAGTTTTAATCTTCTTATTTTTATTATTACCAGGCTTTTCTAGAAATAATTTTAGGGTATAAATCAGGCTTACATTTTTCATTAAATTAAAATGTTTAACAGATTTTCCTCATTTTATTGGTGAACATTGTTCTAAAAGAAATTAAGAACAAATCTGTTCAAGCTAATTTATTTTAATTTCAACAGACTTATGATTATGATTTCCAAAAATAAAATTGTAATGGATTGGTTGATACAAACTAACAAATAGGCAAAAAATGCTAAAATGTATCATATTTACTTGGCAGATAAGAGGTCAGATAGAGATACAGAGACTTTTAACTGTGATGTCCAAAACCATCCCCCCAGCTACTTGAATAAAGTTTGTGTAGAATTCAACAACAAAGTAGGTCAATAGGTCAATAGGTCAATAGGTCAATAGGTCAATAGGTCAATAAGTAGGTCAATCAATAAAATATTTTGCCAGATTCGGTCAAAGTGATTAAATACTAAAGTGGGCCAAACTCATAGTTGGATGACGACATTTTATGTCCCAGGTATTTAAAAATAATATATATATATATACAAAATATATATTTTAATTGTTCTGTATGGAGTGCACATCAGAAATTGGACTCCCATTTGTTTACAAACACAGACTTAGAATTTGTATTTAACTTAAATATAGATTAACGTAAGATTTTAGAAGTGAAATTTAGCCATTTTACTGCATAATAAATAATTTCAGACAACACAATATTGCCTGCATGCATAATCTGCATGATCTTCGAAATGTATCTCTTGGTCTACACTTTTGTATTTGACAGATTTAACCCTATCCCTGCTGGGGTAATTGAAAACCAGGATATGCTGGGGGGGGGGTCAATTTGACCCCCCCTCTAAATCCCATGTTTAATGTCCAAATATGACAAATGATACATCATTGGAAAGCTCTTGTGCTCTACTTTTAGAATCTGCAAAAAAATTTGCAAATTGGCAAAGATAACATTTTTTATTGCAAAATCCAGTTATATCGTAAAATTGTTTGCAAAAAAGAATTTGTCCAAAAAATTAAAAATTATGCATTTTTGAAAAGCCCTTGACCATGCCATTTCAAATATGCAAAGATTTTTGCAAAATTTTAAATAACCTGATTTTTAATCAAGAAAAACTAAAAATGTACAAATTTCCTTTGACAGGTTGTTTGCAAAAAAATTGTAATTTTATTTCGCAAAACTTGTGGAACCAGTTTCCTTGTGTCAAAGGCTTTCCAAAAAGCTAAATTTTATCAAAATCTGACAAGTGAAAGCGGGTCAAAACAAAGATTTAGTTTGTTACAGGAAAAAGCAGTCATTCAGGCAGTGTGCCTGAGGACTCAAGCAGTTAGTATAGTAGGCCTAAAGGAAGGGCTTTGGGTATGTATGAAAAGTCAGAAAATTTCAACAGCCTCAGATCAATACTTTTTGATTTATGTAAAAAAACTACAGGGGGGGGGGTCAAATTGCCCCCCCCCCAGCAGGAATAGGGTTAAGAGTGGTTGAGAACTATGCATAGCTTTAAAGATATTAAGAGAGGCGTATTTAGGTTTTTTCCCAGGAAGGGCTTAAATTTCTTTTTCTTTTTAGGGGGGGGGGGGCAAAACAAAACTAAGCAGTTTTAAAGATAAATTCTTATAGAATTAGAAGTGCAAGCAAAATCTATGAATTTATTAAGCGACTATAAAGTATTTGCATATAAAACACATACAAACATACAACATTTTTTTAATTTTAATTATGAACATTTTGAATTCCTAGCTGAAGACGACATTTACATGGGACCTTGGTCTATTTTTTCTAGTCTTTACTTTCCAAAAGAATTCTGTTCATGCAATTATTTCCAAACCAAATAAAACCTTATGGCCCAAACTGTCGTCGTTGCCTTAGTCTGTTCCACTTTAGTATTTATTCACTTTGAGGTGGGGTTAATAGGGTGGACGTTGCTAGGGCTTGGCAAGAACAGGTTAACAAACATCAGGTTTTTGAAAAACTTACGTATGATTCCATTAACAAACTGCACAAACCATTAATTTTGAGTTTTTTATCAAAAAAAAATAATTGTTCATGAAAAAAATAACGGAAAAAATATAAATTGATACTTTGAAAGGTCCATTCTACCAAAAGATACCATAGTTAACGATCTTGCTATCATTAATTGCGTTAATGGCAGATTTTTTAAAATCATTAACGGTGCTGGGTGTTTCAAAAGCCCTTTAAAAATAGCTGGAAAATTTGAAGACAAAATGTCAAAATATGTAAAAAAACATCAATGCATGAAATTCTAAAATTAGCGAGTGAAAAAAAACCTCGAGATAGATAAAAATAATCTTTTATTTCTATTTCAGATTCATGCAATTTTGAACAGAAAAAAAAGATAAGAAAGTCGCCATTTTTAAACATTTTAAACACACCCCTTTCATTTGTTTTCAACTGCCATTTGTTTCAAAAAGTCTATTTTTGTTAGTTGACAATTGGCTTTTGCCGTTCATTAATGGACTCTTCCGTTAATTTTTAAAAACTGCGTTTAGTTACAGTAACTTTACCTATCTCTAGCCCTAGTCCTAGCAACTAAACATATTTTTAAATATAGATTCTGCAGACTTTGAGAATAATTGGTATGTTGTGATGTTTATTCTTCATGTGTTTTATTTAAAATGCCTTTTTTGACTATCACAATTCTTATAAAGATTCACGCAGCTCTAAATAAATTTGTCATCAAAAAATAAAATAAAAATTACAAAAAATGTTTTAAAGTTGCATGAATTGCAAAAAAAATGTTTTACAGTTGCATAAATTGCAAAAATAAATGTTTTACAGTTGAATAAATTGCAAGAAAAAGCCAAAAAGAAGGAACTCTTGACAACCGAGGATGTTAAACAACTGAAAGTCTACAAAATAAGTCAGGTTGCATGTTGTCATTTATTATTTTGTATTTTTCAGTAAAAATTAACTAAACGTATGATCTGTATCCAAAAATATGTCCCAAGTCAATCAGATAGTTTTGGGAAACCTTTAACCTGATCCTTAACCATAAAGACCATTTGGCAAACATGTATTTGAAAGAAAAACTGATTATCAGACACAAATTAGCATGGCAAATCTAACCATGGCTAGTTTGTGGTTCATAACAATGAAACAGCTTCATTTAAAAGGCCTAACCCATGGTTTTGGATCTTCCATAGCTGATAAGGTGCTTGCGATTTATATTTGTAGTTTTTAAAATCAAAAATATGTCAGAAAAATTTGAACTGTGAAAACAGTCATTTTTAGTGTTTTAATTGATTATTTCAGGAGATGCTTCTGCTTCCGACGAAAAACCTGACAAAAATAGTTGCCATGAAGAACAATGACACTCATTGCTTTTCAACCTGTAAGCTCGTTTAAGTAGATTGATTTCTTAAATATTTAGTTGTTGAATTTAAGTTTAAACAATTAGATGTTTCTTGTTCTGCATTTTCTTTTTGTTTGTGCTGTGCATGTTTCATCATGTTCGGCTAATTTAAAAAAAAAGAAAAATATTTTTTGGAGGGAAATCCTAGCAGTTGCCAAGGAGAGGCCCCTGCTTTCCTATTTATTTTTAACCCAGAAATTGTTTTTAAAGTAAGTTTATAATTTCACAAATATAATCCCACAAACTTAACATAGCAAACTAATGTTTAACCTATAAAGGTCAGAATTTATGTAATGCCTGGCGGAGAGGGTCAATCCACGCCGCCCCCCCCCCAGGCTTTAGAGGAAAGGATTAGGCTTGCAATGCATATGTTCTAAGTCCAATTTTCAAAGTCAGCTCATTAAAAAAAGACCGCTAATTCTAATACTTTTGGTGCTTGGAAGGTTTGAAAAAAATGCCAAGAAAAGGGTCGAAAAAATTTGTATAACTATATTTTTTGGTTTTTGACAAATATGAAGATGTGACACATGTTTCTACAATTAAAGAAAAAAATAGACCCCTCACTCTAGTTTTGCTGTTTGGAAGGTTTGCAAAAAATGTCAGAAAAAAAGGCTTAGGAAAATATAAAAACTATTTTTTTGTTTGTTTTGGAGCTCAGTTCCTTTTAATCTTAAATTAAAACCCAAAATGATCTGTTTTTATATTTGTAAATTCTAAAAATCATTATTTGTTTATTACCAAAGATGGCAATGAAATTGTTAATTTTTCAAAATGCAAGCAAACACGTAAACTACATTCACTACACAACTTATAACTTTATACATTTAAATGTAGAAATAAACAAATCAAAACAACAGATCTGATTTTAAAGGGAGTGTTCGCGAAAAATGAAAGGGGGTATAGGCTTAATGCGATAAAAAAGCGCTTTTGATCGCTACTAATCTTATTTCTATCTGTTGCGTCTGTAAGGAGAAAATTGTTAAAGACGTCTCATATCGAATAACTTAGCGCCCATACAAATTCAGAAAATTGCAACATACTACTTAGACCGTAAAAAATCAATTTGATGTCAAACAAATCATTCAGATATTACAACCTATAGTCATCGATTATCTTTCGCCACATTTGTATAAAGTTTATATTTTATAATATGTTTTGATTAATTTGTTTATTTCTCTTGTCGCTTGCGCAACTATCTAAGAATGCCGCACACCACTCACAATTTTCGAAATCCGTTGAAAACGTTTTATAAAAAAATCAAATATTATAAAATGTAAACTATATACAAATGTGGCGAAAGATAATCGATGACTGTAGGTCGTAATATCTAAATGATTTGTTTGAAATTAATTTGATTTTTTACTGTCTATGTAGTATGTTGCAATTTTCACAATTTGTATGGCCGCTAAGTTATTCGGTATGAGACGTCTTTAACAATTTTCTCCTTATAGACGCAAGAGATAGAAGTAAGATTAGTCGCGATCAAAAGCGCTTTTTTATCGCATTAAGCCTATACCCCCTTTCATTTTTCGCGAACACTCCCTTTAACACCAAAATAACATTCTTAAATTTCACTTTTATTTATTAGTTCCCTCAGCAGATGGTTGGTGTGCTACTTGCAATCCTAATGCTACTAAGAAGGATCCTGGATACTGTTCATGTAAATTTTTTAAACAATTTCTCGCCAAATCGTTAGATTTATTTTTGCACACTCTTATTTTTCATTAACCCTATCCCTGCTGGAGTACTTGAAAACCAGGATACATTTGGGGGGGAGGGGAGGTCAATTCCCCCCCTCTATATCCTATGTTTGGTGTCTAAATATGACAAGTAATACATCTTATGCTTTTCTTTTGGAATCTTCAAAAAAAATTGCAAATTTGCATAAATTGATTTTTTTTTTGAAAAATACAGTTATAAAGTAAAGTTGTTTCAAAAATAATGTCCAAAAAATGATAAAATATGCATTTCAAATATGTAAAAAAAGGAAATTTTAAATAACCTGATTAGTAATTAAGAAAAAAACTAAAAATGTGCAAATTTCTTTTGACGGGTTGCTTGCAAGTAATGTACAACAATTTATTTGCAAATATTTGTGCAACTTGTCCTAATATAACTGGTTTTCAAAATTATCAAAATCAGACAGCTGAAAATGGGTCAAAACAAAGATTTTGTTTGTTACAGGAAAAGTAGTCATTCAGGCAGTGTTCTTAAGGACTCAGGCAGTTAATATAAAAGCCCAGTTTTAGACCTAAAGGGAGGGCTACGGATATTTAGGTAAAGTCAGAAAAGTTCAACAGCTTCAGACCAATACTTTTTGAGTTATGTAAAAAAACTACAGGGGGGGTCAATGCACCCCCCCCCTTCGAGCAGGAATAGGGTTAAAAAAATCAAAAAAGTTTCGAATTTTCCTTGTTTTTTCTTTCATTCTGGGGACCGAATTTAATGAATTTTAGCTACGTTGCTACACTCCCTACTGCAATGCCGGTTCAAATTTAAACCACTGATTGAAAATGATTTGAATCGGTGGTTCAAATTTGAGCTAGTGTTAGGCAGTTCAAATTATTAAATGCCCGATTTACAGAGATACCCTTTTGGCATTTGCAATCGTTCACAAAAATTTCATAACGATTTCTGAAAAAAAACTTAGTTGCCAGCGCCTTATAACAATGATTAGATTTTGTTCTGAGTAATGATTACAACTAGATTTTTAAAGACCAGCATTATTTTGTAAAAAAAGTTACAATTTTGTTTAAGCTGATCCAGGCGAAGCTGATACAATTGCAATACCTGAAGTTGACAAGGTAAATCTTATTTCACATTATTGAATATTTTGAATATCTAGACTTGCTTTCAATGGAAACCCTAGATTATATGCTGGTGTCAACATTTTTTTATTCTAGAATAAGATACCTAGCTTAAGAACCCAGCTTTGTTTGGAAACTAAACTTTTAATCTGTCAATCTGTACACAGCGTACACCGGGTTACATAACGATTCAACAGCTATTTAACAGATTTACACACAGAGTTCTCTCTACTCGCATGACCAGTCAAAGCTTTCAGAAGCACCGTTATAAATCGGCCATTGTCATCTTTACATGGAGGGTCACTTTAAATTACACTTACAGTCCCTTACCGTACAGTAATTGTTTGTAAAACCACTACAGCAGGAGACCCTAGGTTGCCTCTGTAATCCTTGAATATATATTTTTTAAAGAATGTTATGACTATGTTTAATAATAATATTTAGGTTTCATGTATTATCTAGAAAATGTTCCATTATTTTGTTTACCATCATATTTAGTTCTATTTCAGGGCTGGGGGTTTTGCTCATCACATTGTACACTATCTGAGTAAGTGTTTGCTTCATTCTTTTAACATTTTTTTTTTAAATAGTTCAATTATAATAAAAATTTAAATTATTTCTTAATTCTCAAAAGACTTTGGGATGGGAAATTTATGACCCTCCCCCCCTGCAGGTGATTTTAATAATTAGCATTTAGTGAATTCAAGTTTTTTGCTTCTGTTATATATATAAACGTCAGAACAGATGAACTGATGGGAAGAATGTTTTTGTTGGACCTCACATAATCCCAGGAAAGGTTTACGGATGCTCAGAATTGCAAAATGTTTTGAATTTCGTAAAATTTAGAAAATCCACGGACAAAAATTGTAATTCCGCAATTTTTTATGAAAAAAGAAAATGCTGCAAGATTGAGCAACAATACAAAGTTGAAATAGAAGAAAGAAATTATTATAGAAGTTTTAAAAAGTATTTATAAGAAAAGTAAAAATGCCTCTATATTCTCTAATTCTAGGGGCCTAAAGGAGAAATTAAAGATGGCTAAAATCAGCATTCTTGATGAGAAAACTTGTGCAGGTATATTTTCAACATATAATACAAATCTTTACAGAACTCTTTATCTTTATATCGGCTGATCTGTTTTCTTGTTTATGGAGTTGTACCTGATAATCGTCAAAACGGCCGATATGGCCCAAATTTTTTGTGGGAACTTACATGACCTAAGAAACGGTTTATGGACGGTCAAAATTACAAAAGTTGCCTTAATTAATTATTGATATTTCTTAAATATATAAACGCTTGCTTAAAGCAAAGTGTAAAGTAAACAATTTTAAGCGTTGTAACTTGTAGTAGATTAAAAAGGATATTTCTGACATCCTTGATTAGTCAAAAGTTTAAAGGATATCGTCGTAAATCGGGAAAGCCCCACTTGAAATTACAGTCCTATAATTTAATTTGTTCAGCTCTGGGTAATATTAAAGCTACTGATGGGAGCCAGCTAACGGTCAACACAAAGACAGAGCTGTGCGGAGCATTCATGAGCACGATGAATGTATCAATGTTTAACTATACTGACACACCACATACAGGTTAAATAAAACTGTACACTAGGAACACGAGATCTAAGCACAAAGTTTGAAATTTAACTTATCAAGTAAAAAGAGCTTGTTTACTCTACACTGTACATTTTTTATCATTTAAAATCATAAAAGGGAGTGTTCAATCAATTTAATTTCAAACAAATCATTTAGATATCACAACCTAAAGTCATCGATTATTTTTCGACGCATTTGTATATAGTTAATATTTCATAATATTTGTTATTTGTTTTATATACAATGCACTTAAACCGACTTTTTTCCGCTAGATATCTCTGCCACGTGTAGGGAAGGGATGTTAACGTTTTTATTTTTTTGGAAAAGCGATCATTTTTTTATGTAACGATGACGAAAAATCGAAAACAAAACGATCGTTTTACTTATCATTGAGTAGTTTTTAAGAAAATATCACACAACTATTTAACTTCATGTAAAAAGACATTAATTAAATTTGCATGTAATGTTTTCCAAAAACGACCGTTTTTATAAAGTTCATCGTTTCGTTAACGATCGTTAACGACAACCCTTCGTTAACAATCGTTAACATAACTGACAATAATTTTTATTTCAAAAGCGATCGTTTTTGAAAAAACAATCATATAAAAAACGGTCGCAAATTGTTTTTATAAAAACAATCGTTTTCGAAAACGGTCGTTATTCGTTTTCTAAAAGTTCAAAACGAGTGGGTCGTTAATAAAAACGATCGTTTTTTTCAGAAAACGGAATGATCGTTTTTGAAAACGATTGAAAAACGAAACAAAAAACAATTGTTTAACTATCGTTTTCATAAACGATTAGTAACCCTAGCCACATGTAAATATTCAAAGCATCGAGAGCTGAGACTTCTGGCGTTTTAAGTGCATTGTATACAAAACGAATGTTAAATACTAACAATATACGAATGCGAAAAATAATCGAAGACTATAGGTTGTAATATCTGAATGATTTGTTTAAAATTAAATTGATTTTTTTACGATCCAAGTCATATATTGCAACTTTCTGAATTTGTATGGACGCTACGTATAAGTCGATTTTAACAATTTTCTCCTTAGAATATAGACGCAATCTTAGAGACGCAACAGATAGAAGAAAGATTAGAACAAATCAAAAGCGATTATTTTTCGCCGTAAGCCTTTACCCCCTTTAATTTTTCGCGAACACTCCATTCAAGTCTTATAGCGATGTTCTCCAATTCCACAGTTTTATGGGTCTCGCTGTAGAATATTGTTCTTCAGAAATGTAATTTTATCACTCTGAAAGTATTTGATCAAAGATTAAGCATTGCAGATTATTATTTCAGTAATCTGATTGAATTGAATTTAACTTTTTCAGAATTTGCGGTTAAATGTTAAAAAAAAAGAATAAATATCACCATGACTTGAACTTTAATTCCACGTTGTTTTGCTTAATTCTGTATTTTGTTAATTATATTCATTTAGAAAGAGAATTCAGTTTGTTTGATGACAAAAATGAGAAATTACGTAAGACTGGTTTTCTGAGGTATTGATTGATTGAAAACAAGAATATTATAGGCCCACATATTCTAGGGTTACCCACAAAGATGAAGGCGACTTTTGCATTCATTCATCCTTCAACAATCGTTTTATAAAAACTTTTGTTTTTTTAAATGTTCGTTAAAATGAATCTGGGTTTTGTGACAATTAATCTAATTTATTTTCAGTAAGATAAGGTTATGAATGTTGTCTTAAATGTATTTTCTCTTTAAAATGTCGTTAACGATCGTTGACAAAGGGTTTTCGTTAATGGTCGTTAACAAAAGGTCATATAAAAAACGATCGATTTAAAAAACAATATTTAAAAAAAATATCGTTTCGTTTTTCGTTTTTCTTCGTCGTTTTCAAAACAAAACGATCGTTTAAAAAATGGAAACGATCCATCCTTAATCCAACAACAGAAAACTTCATTTTATATTTGCCTAATCATTTACAATGCACCATTCATATTCTTTCAATTATACCTTAATCTTAATTAGTTACAATGTTCTTAATACGGGGTTTTCAAGTGCATGGGTGAACTCTGAACAACGACCGCCAGACCCAACATTTTTTTGACGTTCTTACTTGCGCCGAAAGTCCCTCCCCTCTCCTGATACGTGTCCCTGGTTTTCTCTGAAAATTTCATTTGTTTTCATTTTCTTTTTGTATTATTATACTATATGTCATTGTCATGTTTTATCTATTTGCAAATAGTTTGTCCTCTTTAAAGTTTTAAATAGCATCAGGGCAAAATTTAAAATGGGCCTCACACATCAAACTAAAGTAAATTGTACGTAAAATTGAACTATTTTATGTTTTTTTTTCTCATTATTATGCATAAAAACAAAACTACAGACCAAACGAGGTCACAACGTTGTACCAGCGATGTCGAATACATTTTACATTCTCTTTCTGTCTTGTTCGTAAAGTGTGCAGTCTGCATACATTTTCAAATTCTCGACCAAATTGTGAAACATTTTCTTTAATTAAATTATTATTCTGTTTTTATCATTTTCATTATCCAAAAAGTTTAAAAAAGATTATCGATTTAAAAAAAATATTAGAGCCCGAATTTAAAGAATTGTAACCTCGTCGCTAAACCGCCAAAAACCGGTTCCAATTGAGCGCCAGCTCAAATCTCGAAACACTGATACAATTTCAAGTAGAACCAACCATGTTTGAGTCGCATTTAAAATTTGAATCGCGGCTCAAATTCTTTAAATTTTGCGTCTGTGCAATATAAAATATTGTATTTAATCTCTAGGTCTACCAGAATCGACAACAATAAAGGTTTGGGAAATTACTCAGTTCGAACTAACATGGTGCTTGGAGGAACAGACACTTGTCAAGGTTAGATACCTCTATCAGGTTTATTTTAGTTTCAAGAATTATTTAAATTTTATTTCAAATGAGGCTTTATACATATAATATATGTACAATTAAAAACGGTAGAAACGACGCTATCTTCTACTTTTTGATCTAATTAAGGTTTCAATGCATTGGTACAGGGTGCCCCGATAAACATGGGAATTCAGTGACGAATTCGATATCGTCTTTTTAAATAATTCTTTGATTTAGTATAGTGATACCTACTGAGAAAGCTGTAATCTGTAAGAGTTTCGTCTGCTATGTTCACATTTTGTTTGTTTATGTTTTGACTGCATACTGTTGTACTTTGTAAAACAGGAAAATTGCAGTATACGAACAGAGTAAACTTGTCAGTCTTCACTGTTCATCTTGCGGAGACATTATAGACACATCTGTACAGTCTTTTACCCTTTTCATAAAAATAAACGCTAGCAGACATAATAATATTATGGCTTTTGAAATCAGGTATTACAATGGTAATTTATTACAAAAACGATATCAAATTTGTCACCGAATTCCCATGTTTTTTGGGACACCCTGTACCATTGTACCATCTAGGGAGGTTGGAATAATAATTGGTCGGCTTATTAATAATTTATATTTATTAACTCTGTTTAAGCAAAATATGAAAACTTAACAAATCAATAAACTGAATACTTGATACAGTGATAACCAGAAAACTCTGAAATAGGAAGACGACTTTATAGTAATACTTATGTGTATTTTAGGCTGTTACAAAAAAAAAAGTTTCACCAGACACTTATTAAATCAAGTCAGGTAATGACTTTAAATAGTCCAAGCTCCTTGGACTATTTAAAGTCATTACCTGAGTCTTTAAGTCGTCTTCCTTTTTGCTTATGATTGTACAAACTCTATTTTTCTAATATCTCTATCCTTGCAGTCGGTAGCAGTAATTTACCATAATTTTGACCTTAACCAATTCTGTTTAGTGTGCCTTGTCATCTTCCACTAAACAGTCAACATTATCTATATCATAAATAATATGATATAGCATAGTGTAAGAAACGCAAATATATTTAAAATTGTTTATTCTAAACATTTGTTTTACTTACATCTATAGGTCCAATTTTGCCCTGGAAGAAGTTATCCGCGAAAACAACCCAATAAGGACCCAAAAACGATTCAAAAACGATTCAAAAAACGACCCAAATACAACCAAAAACGAAAATGTCGCAAAGATCAACTTCGGATTGTTTTTGAATTTTTTTTAAAGTGACGAATATAAAAAAGCCAACTTTAACATAATAAAGTTTTGGAATCTTTGAAGTTTTATGAATTTTTTTTTCTAAAAACGATCCAGATCGTTTCGCTCAAAAACTTATGTTTATATGTTTTCTTTAGCTGGCAAAACGAATCAAAATGGATAAAATTGTTTAAAGGAACCCATGGGAATTTTGAAAATTCCACTGGCAACGGCGGGCAATTTTGCTAAAATGATGATTCAATACCAAGCATGGGTAAACAGCGAGGGTAACAAGACTAGGAATAATAAATTAGACCTGGACAACGCTGGGCACTCCAACATAGGAGAAAAAACTTCAATATCTTAAACAATTTTTAGATATCTTGACAATACTATTACAGGGGATAGTGGAGGTCCACTGTGGACTGATTCAGATCTAGAGACGAATAATGGAACACTCAAGAATGTTGCAGTTCTCATCGGAATAGTCAGGAACTATATTAACAGCATTACAATTATGTACAAGTGCTTTACAGGGAGGTTTTATAGAAGTGTCCGGCTGGTATGGTACAGTGGTAAGCGATATTATCAATACAATGAAGACGACTTTTCATTTAAGTTTCAATTGTTAACAACCTTTTTTTGAATTACAAGTTTACAAGTAATCAAAGAGAAGCTTTTTTAATTCAAAGCTTCTTTTGACTTCTATGTTTAAGTGTATATCAATGCTGCTGAACAGCTTTACAAATATTGAATAAAACTTGAAATCGAAAGTCGTCTTCATTGTATTGGTACAATCGCCTACCACTGTAGTTAAGATGAGAGTGCACTATTGTAGATAAATAATTTCAGATTCATTTGATATCAATAGGACGTTTTTACGGTGTAAAATTGCTGAGTAAAATCGCAAAATCGTTTTATAGGATCCTTCCAGAGTGTCTGTTTTATAGGATCCTTCCAGAGTGTCTGTTTTATAGGATCCTTCCAGAGTGTCTGTTTTATAGGATCCTTCCAGAGTGTCTCTTTTAAAAAAATTATAATTTACCAAGGGTTCCCAAAACCAATTTTGCCTACACAACACCCAGAGCGTTGCGAGGGATATTATGTTGGAAAATTGGTCGAGGGAACCCGTGGTCAAGTAAAATTATAATTTTCTCGAAAATTCTTCCATTTAGCGGACTGAATATTTATACTAAATATTATTTTGGTTTTTACTTCGACCTATAAGAGTTTTATTTTTCAAGTGGAGGATACTTTAAGGGGCGTACTGACTGGGTCACTTAGACATGTTCCCTTAGGCCCCTTCTAGCCCCTGAACTAAACTTAGAAATATATTCTTTTCTATTCTTATCGATTGACAGTTTGTCCGTTTTATGATAGTTTCTTAAATTCTTTCAATAATACTATACAGTTTTGTAGGGGGGTGAACCAAAAAAAATTTGGCTGTCAAAAGTTTACACACTTAGGCTAAACCTTCAGTATGTCCCTGGATGGTTTGTGCCCCCCTCTCCACTGTTTTTAACATTTGATTGTTCAGCCGTGGAAATAATATATCTTATTGAGCTCATTAAGCTATCTTAATAAATTAAATTCCTTGATTTGTTTTTAATATTTGATTGTTCAGCCGTGGAAAATAATATATCTTATTGAGCTCATTGAGCTATCTTAATAAATTAAATTCCTTGATTTGTTTTTAATATTTGATTGTTCAGCCGTGGAAAATAATATATCTTATTGAGCTCATTGAGCTATCTTAATAAATTAAATTCCTTGATTTGTTTTTAATATTTGATTTTTCAGCCGTGGAAAATAATATATCTTATTGAGCTCATTGAGCTATCTTAATAAATTAAATTCCTTGATTTGCTTTTAATATTTTATTGTTCAGCCGTGGAAAATAATATATCTTATTGAGCTTATTGAGCTCATTGAGCTATCTTAATAAATTAAATTCCTTGATTTGCTTTTAATATTTGATTGTTCAGCCGTGGAAAAGGTTGTGGTGAAGTAAACTATCCAGGTTTATATACAAGGAATCATTCATACCTATAAAAAAACGATACCATGTCTTTTTTTAAGAAAGAAGCGGATTCGGGCCGCCCTTCCTCCCCCCCCCCACATTTTTTATTTTTCCCTAGAAGTTGAGGTAGATGGGAGTCATTGCATGTAGTACAACTTTTTTCTATCGAACCATCGAATCTAAGTAAGAAAGTCCCGGGAAAAAAAGTTTCTGGAAAAAAACCTGGAAATAAAAACTTTGGATAAAAAGTCGGAATTTTTTCAAGTTCTCGGAAAAAAAAGTCACTGTAAATAAAGTCCGGTGTTTTGGATTCCTGGGACTTTTTTTCCTAAAATCATACTGGAGCCAGAAAAAAAGTCCTAGAAAATAAAGTCTCGAATTGGTAGGACTTTATTTCCGGAGACTTTTTAATAAAGGACTTTTTTAGTGTGAAATTTTAGGACTTTTTTCCAGAAACCTTTATTCCAAGGACTTTTTTGGCGGTCACCTAACCATCGAAGTCAATTCAATAGTGCAGTGTAAACAGACAAATTTCACTAAATTAGTGATTTAAAAGTGTTTAGTAAAAATATTTGGTTTGTAATAACAACAAATACACTTAAGCATTGCTATAATGTCGTCTTCCTATTCAATTATATTCAAGTTATCATTGTATAAACATAAATAAATAAAAACCGGTATTGCCCACCATTTGTGTACAATATGTACATTGTACAATGAACATAGATGATCTGTTAAAAGCAAGGTGAATTGAATAGAAGGAGGGGGCGATTGGGTTTCCGTACACTTTGCTGTGACGTTTTTGGACTGCTGGAGAACTAGTTTTTGCGTAACAACAATAACAAAGGCAGCCGATCTAATGTAAACAAACATAAGTTAATATACGGTGAATCTTCATCTAACGCCAGAGATGCCAGATGTCTGTTTATCCTTTGTATTGTTTACAATCTTTATTATTGTTGTTACGCAAAAACTAGTTCTTCAGCAGTCCAAAAACGTCACAGCAAAGTGTACGGAAACCCTATCGCCCCCTCCTTATATTCAGTTCTCCTTGGTTTAAAGGGTGATAAAAAACTAAACACTTCCCACTTATTTCTCTCAGAGGCTTTTATAGAAAATCTAAAATTAATATTAAAAGAAAATCAAATTATGAAATAGGCTGGTTTCATAATTGACCAATGATCATTTCACATAGACTCTATGCTTTTCGCTTTACAAGCGATGATTTTCCGTTATAACTATAAATCAAATGATGTTTTTTATTCACCTGATTCATTTTATAAAGTTTATTTAACAGCTTTAAAAAATGTGAAATGGAGATGGATAGTCTAGGGAACATACTGTATTAATGTACTCTACTGCATATAATTTGTGAGCACTTACATGATTTGTACACTTTGAACTCCCTTTCAGGCTGAGAGGGACTGACAACATTCATACCGAGGGACTGTCTAAATTCCACTCTAAAATATATTCTATTCTCTCTGGCTAGTTGTTTCTTCGATCCAACTTAATTCATAGTTTGAAAGTTATATGCATGACATTGGGTTTCAAAGGTATTATTAAAGTTTGTGAATTGTAAAACAATTATATTTGGCGGATGTAGCACGCCACAATTACCATTTTAAAAAGGGTTATTCAACAATTATAATCCTCAAATTTTGGATTTAGACAAAATCTCTTATAGCTAACTTTACATTTAAATTTAAAAATTTTAAAGAATTTTTTTATATGTTAAAATTTCAGGTGACAGAGGTAGTGGAGGCAAACGAAGAAAAAAAGGATAATGATAAAGATTATGATAATTATGATGAATATGATGAAAATTATGATGATGAGTATGAATATTCTGGTAATAATGATGATGCGTATTATGATTATGATGAAGAAGATGATGATAAAGATGTAACAGAGTAAAAATAAAAAAAACGATATAGATAACAGTGATGATAAGAGAGAGAACAAAAACATTTCCTATTCTTGCATGATCCGAATTCCGAACTAGTTCCGAGGATTGAAAATAATCTGTTTTCAAAATGATAAACATAAATTATTAGAAAGCTTTTAAGGGTCCCGAATCTGAATCTGACATGTCAATCTATGAATAAAGGGTCACTTAAAATGAGTGTACAGACCCTTAAACAAAGACTGATTCGTGTATACGCGCCCTAGCTATCGGGCTTAAAGGGACTGTAAGCGTAATTTCAAGTGACCCTCCATGCAAAGATGTCAATGCCAGATTTACAACAGTATTCCTAAAAACCTTCACAGAATCAAGTATGAATTAAATATCATTTTTTTTATTTTTAAATGTTTATTTTAATTTGCATTTCCAAAAATATCAGAATTAAACAGAAAGAAAAAGACGGTATCTTTTATATTTTAGACCAAATTAAAGTTTCAAGGATACCGTTGTTAATCGGGCTGCCTAGTTAGTCATTTAAAATTACGCTTACAGTCCCTTGAGTGGATATGTTTAAAGTATCTCCACCTCCTATAGTATATACTAGCTAGGTGTCTCCCAGGTGACGTGTAAATACCTGTGTAATGATTAAACCAACCAACCAGAACAGTCCATTCAGTTTACAAGATAGTTTACAAGATACACCTGTAGGCTAGAATAATATTATCAAATGATATATTCTTGAAAAATAGAGTAAAAAAGACAGTAAATATGTGTGAACCAATAAATTAAAGCTTTTGTTGCAGCCAGACCCCCAGCATTGCAAAATAAACAGAATTAAAGAGAAGGTCAAATTTATGCCACATTACTGTTACGACTTTGTGACCTCGTAACGATCCTCTATTTTTTATTTCGTGTACTTTAGTACGAGAGCAGCAAAGGAACTCAGTTTTTGTCACATGCTCTAATTATTTAATCCTTATATCTTTGCAACACAATGTCTTAAACCTTTGATGTTACAAACTATGAAATCTGTTAGATAAAATAATCTAAGTTTGAAATATCAAAGCTTTACCACATCAGGTTGCAAAGAAAAAGAGATTAGAAAATTTGAGTTTGTGGCAAAAACTCAATTTCTTTATCAGGTTACATGTTAGAAATTAAATAAAGTTGAGTTATGAGTAAAACCATATTTCAATTTTAAATTCAACTTACTTTGGTTTTACCTGCCAGCTCTTTTTTCTTTTCTTTCTATTATTTCTTTTATTCTTTTCTCTCTCATATTTTTATTCTTTTCTCCCTCATAATCTTATTCTTTTCTCTCTCATATTCTTATTCTTTTCTCCCTCATATTCTTATTCTTTTCTC